GGCCAACATTCCTCTTATTGTCTCACTCGTCGAGCCACTCAGCCACCTCCTCTTTGAGTGAAATGATGCTCTGCGATCCTCCTCTTCTTTCTTCAACTTCCCAGATAGACTACTGGTTAGTCGTTGCATGGGTCAGAGGGTTTATTCTGCCTCTGTTTTGCCACCCGTGTTAATTGGAGATGAGCTTGTCTCCACCAAGCTCTCATCTGCTACTGCACATTGAGACCAATGGAACTAGGTCTCGCCTGTCCCCTTCAACTGGACCGCTGTTGTGATACGAGCCGTCACTTTGGAGCTTGGCACGCTCCCTTCATCCCTCAGGTTCTCCTGTTCCAACGCTATGTCTGCTGTTCCTCAAGATGATCACTGATCCTCCTCAAGCCTCCATCCTGGCCTCCGCTTCCATCCTGTGGGCGCCCTTCCTCATTCACTTCTCGTCATGGCACCTCACGACACCTACAAATTAAAATGACCCTCCTCTTGCACCTGGCCTCCGCCGTGTGTCAACTCCCTACTGAGACCTGTACAAGAATGTTACACATTCTCTCTAAAACAATCTCCCGCCAACCTGTAACCCTGTGTAAAAACATTAGTCAGCAGTTACATGTTAAGCTCATTTAACTCCCAGTTCCACCTGGAACCTGTATCCTGGAAAACAAATCTGTTAAATCAAACATCTTATTTACAACCAACTATAAATCATGAGAGCGATAAAGTATGCAGCATAACAGACAAGTATCATGTTCAGGACTTCTCAAATTATTAAATCACTATTAGTGCCACAATTTATTTTATCCCCAATTTAATCAGTGACTTTCCTTAAGCAATGTCACTCCACTTGTTTTATCACTATGAGCCCCATATTAAACTGTTCCATAGAAACTGCATCTCTTATTTGTTTTCTCATGTCACTTGTCTGTTTTGTACTGAATCCTCCGCATGCACTCTTAACAAAAGCAAAACAAACATTAGCAAAACACATTTGACCATCTCGGGTTAGGCGTCAGCCCTCCACACTCCAGAGGTGCTGTAAAAAGATTTCCTGTAAAAAGACTCACACTGTTTTCAAGACAGGATGTGTCTCCCACAGTTTAATAGCATCACCAACTCATAACCTATAAACACAGTTTCTTCACACATAAGCCCAGAAATCCTATAGTAGGAAAACATTATTAGCAAACATTAACCACTTGTCCAGTTATAAACCACATATTCAAAGCACATTAAGAACCATCATGCTGTAGAGAAGAAAATGCAAATGTTAACGCTACGCAGGTGTGTACACCCTTTCTCACAGTAATCTCTGTGAGCAACACAAACCCCTGAAAAACCCCCCTGGTAGCTTCACAAACACAGACAGTAGCATTTAAAAGTTAAATCGTCATGCAACCTCAGATGTCACTGTCATCTTTCTGCTCCTGTAACAGGAAACACATAAATTCATCCACCCTTTTGTCCTATCTAGGTGGAGGTTAACCTTGAGTCGTGGTCAAGTCTTGTCAGCGTTTACCAGTCAGTCAGTTTGTTTTTATTTCCAGTCTTTCATTCACTCATTCATTCATTCATTCGTTAATACATCTTCTACTTCCGTGTATCCTTATATGTACCTTCCCCCTTTTTCTGAAACAAAACCCCAAATTTTGTTTCAGAAACATCTAAATGAAAAACTCTGTCATAGTCAGGCACAGCTAAACCCCAAAAGCTTGCAGGTTACCATAGGCAACCACACTGAGTATTGTTAACCCCTTCTACAAATGCCCTCTTTTAATGTGTTACACTTTATGTATAATTTTATGTTACCTCTGGTCCATATTATTTTCATGTGTGGTGTCACCTTTCCATTATCCTAACAGTACACTTGCATACCTCAGTGCTTGTCTTCCTCCCCCTTTTGTAGTGGTCTGGACACTGTGTCAATCCTCCACTCCCAGGCAGTCGTTTTTCTCCCTGGATTCCTTAACCCCAATTTGGTTCCCCACACTAAAACAGCAGCCTCAGCCCTCTTCTGCTCCTTTCTCTCCCACTTGTCAGTCCAATGGCAGTCAGTTTTCTTCAGCTTTGTCCCCGTGTATCTCTTTGTCCCACTGTCTCTTTCATTGCCATCTCGCTCCAAACATGGCAAATGTCAAGCTCAGACAGTCTTCTCAAAAGTCCTTCACACACAGTGAGGTTGCAGCTTGCTGGAAACGCATCTCCATCCATCCAATCCAGATGGTGGTTCTTCTCTTTCTGATGCCGTTTGCCCACAGCGCTGCTGGACCTCTCTGCTCAGGACTCTGGTATTGTCTCTTGGACTCCTGTCCACTGTTGATGTTCATGCTTGTGCTTCTGGAACTGCACTCTGTGTCTTCAGGGAGAGATCAGCTTCCTTGGAGCTTGCTTGTTCAGGATGAGGACGGGAAGCTGCAAAACAATTCCGCCAAAAAATTCTGGCTGGGTGTGTCTATTTTTCTAATGATTTTAACCTATAATTTCCTTTGACTGCTGCCCGTGGAGAATTGATCCAGGTCCGTTCCCCACCTGTAAACGACAGACTGAGAGACTTTCATTAGTCACTATGACTCCAGATTTTTCCATCACTCCTAAAGCAACACATCTCTGCTTATTTTGTTTTGAACTCTACTGACTTTAAACCCCAAAAATGACATTTTATTTGTTTTTAACCGCAAAGACAAAAATCTTCTTAATGTTGTTATTACTTATTTTTATCCACCACACTCCAAATCATGTTTTCTCTTGTGTCCAGCAGGGGAAGAAGGTGACCTCTACTCTCACTGCTTCCCCAGTCGGAGACAATATCTCACTCACACTTCCACACTTTATTGTTTTCCCTTTTTTCCCATTTATCCTTGAGTACCTGATCACCGCTAAATGTCATCGTTAAGTTTATATATTTATCATTACTTGAACACTAAACCACTGCTTTCGTTTTCTCTATTCATTTTCAATTCACTTTCTCCAACAGACACACAAAGCGCGTGGCCGCGGCTCTCATGCACTTCACAAATTCTCACAAACCACAGCTTCTGTATTAAATCTTTTTCACAGCACACGCAGTTATAATCAACATAAGCAATTTACACAGCCGATTTACACTTTATTTATATACTCAGGCCTGTATCAACATAACAAAAAAGACACCAGATGCCAAGACAAGTTATTCAACAGTTCCTTATCACTTCTTCTTGTCCTTATTCCTGTAACTTCTTATTCTTCTTCAGAGCCTCTGTAGCATTACCCCTAACTTTTTGACTAATTTAAAAGCATCTAAGCCCAGGCCTCGCCTTGCTGGTCAATAAACCCGCTTTGGGAACGCCGTCGCCGGCAGCGGTCAGATTTCTAAGCCCTACTTAATTTATAACCGCTTCCCGCAGCTGACAGGGAGCTCCACCTCCAGCGCCACATGCTTTCAGCTATACTTAAAGCTCACCAGTCCCCTACGTTGAGTAGTCGCGGTCGGGTCTCACCCTTTCAATCAAAAAAATGCAGTATAAAGGCAGTCCCCCTTGGATTGCCTCACCTGTTAACGGGAGTCCGAATGCCCGCGGAAGGCTACTCCGGGCTAATCTGGTTGCCGCCAGAGATAACCGCGCATCCACGGTTACCGGTCAGTGCCACCTGCTGAACGAAAACTGCATTCTTCGGAGCCGCGCTCCGGTCCTAAATCAATTTGTTTACTTATTTTAAAAGCATCACTGTGGGCTCTCAGCCCCGCAGTCTCTTACTTGATGCCCGAACCTCGTCCTGCTACTCAATCTGACCAAATACCCTAACCTAAAGCTTGCCTGGCTGGCGTCACAGTCAACAAATATAACACATCAATTTAAACATATATCCTATTAACATAAACACCCCCAAAAATCCCCACGGACACAAACCAGAAGTTCTACTGAGTGAACATTTAATTTAGCTCAATTTCCAATTCAGAACCTTTGGACATCAATCAACAGGTGGTGCTTACCTCCTATTTCGGGCCCATCACTCAGTCGACCTCCTGGCTGTCCGTCTGTTTGACACCACTACACCTCAGCCAAACCCCATTAGTCCCTCCTCAAACCGGGTTTCGGCACCAAAACTGTCGCGATTCGAATTTTGAGGAAGAGACATACGACTGAAAGTCCATAGTGGGTCAACACAAATTATTTTATTAAAACACATATATGTGGTGAAGATAGGCTCTGCAAAAAATCAAGCTCCATCTCCAGCCTGACAATAGGTGGGGTGTAATATTTATACAAGCAATACGCGTCACTGCAGATGCATTTTCCAGTAACTCCAGCGAGGACATATCCAAAAACAGAACAGTTCCTTCCGATGTTCCTCCACCTAACAGATGCATCCTGTTATTACACTCTTACACTGGACTTATCAGAACTAAACTGTCACGTATGCAGGTACACGGCCTTTGCAACCAGTTCCCTCAGGCAGACTATGTGTCTGTGTTGTGACCTTAGCGCCTGACCCCCCTCTACGTCCTCTGTTACCAGGCAAACTTCACTGCAGGAGGTTGCTGAATGCACACAGGCAATATGTAGTAAATTATACTGTAAACATGTAGGCAACCTTTCAATAGCTGAACTTTGCTCCATCGATCGGCCAGACATCGCGCTGCCCGTAGCTTCAAACCATTAATTAACTTAAACGAGCTTCAACCCTTTAATTATGCAATATGTGTATAACATGATTACAGTTGCACCTGCAATGAATGATTATTATGTGCTTATGCTAACACCTGAAATACAGACTTTAATATAACATCACCAGTTTCAATAAATGTGTCAATCAAATGATAACAATGATAAATCATAAATGATGCAACAGTAATATTGATTATGAATAGTCACAGATTATGAGTGTAAAATAATATTTCATCTCGACAGGAGTTTCAATTGTTTGATTGATACTGGCAAACACACCAGCATTGGACTATTAAACTCTCACTGCTTGCTGATAACAAATAAAGAAAGAAGCAAAAATCAATGAAACATTTTATTTCACAGATTTTTAATAACAATGTCCGTGGGAGATGAGAGTGGGAGGATGTAAACCGTTGGTGAATTCCAGTCATAGGATGCTAATGCTTTGTGACATCACACATTAAACAGGAAACAGGGTAGGTGGAAAGGTGCAGGGTCCATCAAGCTCAAGCAGACTCAGCAGATTCAGCTGAGCAGGCTTTTGCAACATTTGCAGAGTTGATCAAAATCAATGCTGTGTGTTTTTGTGTTAGATTCAGTCCTGCAGTGCTGTGCAGGAAACTGTGAGCAGGACAGAAGAGAAGAGAAGAGCTGCTTTCTGCACTCAAGCTAAAGCTTTAACATCCTCAACAAAGAGCAGCTTCACTCATCGTAGACTCTCACAGGTTTGACTGATTTCCTTTGATATGATACACAAATATAAGCTTGTTTACAATTACATGTATGACTCCTGATATATTAGCCAAGGGGAGGTACATGTGCAGCTCATATTGCGCACACACTGTAGTGGTACAAAATATAAGAACTGAATGTCATTAAAGCAGCATTCGGGTTATGTAGAAGCATGCAGAAAATGTTGACAGGATTGTTACAAATGGACAACAGAGCCCCAAAGTCAAAATAAAGCCCTAAAATCTCCTTTTGAATTTCTACGGTCTGATATTATTGAGTCTGAAAGCTGCAGTGTTATCTGCTGGGAAGAAAAACCTCTTCCAAGAGGGCAGCAATGAGATGGGTGGGGTGGGTGGATTCTTCGATGTTGTTATGGGCTCTGCTGAGACAGCATTTGTCTTTGATGTCCTGAATGGATGGAAGAAAAGTTCTGATCTAACCTTGTTAATGTCGTCTAATAACTTCTAATCAGACCCTTCACTGAAAGATGATGACTAACTTACAGCTACAGCAGAGATGTTTTTTTCAGTTACTGTTAATAGTCGAAGTTCAGTCATAATTTCACATTTAACTGGTAGAATCCAAATATATTAAAAGAATTACCAAAGATTTTTTTTGTGGAGCTGTCTACATGTTGGTCTGCTATACTTTAGATATCATATCATATATTTCAGTGTAATTTAGAATAATTGATGCAGATCATCTTGGGACATAATAAGTCACTGTGACTGAATATCAAAGAGGATCCAGATGCAGTGAGCTGGGAAATTACTGGATCTCCGTTCTGAGTCTGTCATCCATTTTGGATCTGTGTCACTTTTATCAGGGTCAACGCACTGGGACTGATGGGATTTTCAGTGAGAAATATTTTGAGGTTCATAGTCTGAATTAAAGACTCTGGTCCTCTCAAATTCTGTTTAAGATCATTTAATGACATCATAATCTGTGAACATATTTTAACATGAAATGTAATTAGATTACAATCAGTCTACAGCTGCATTTAAGAAGTTACTTTAAATGCTTTTAGAATTTTAAAGTAATTTCAGCCTCATCTTCACTCAAACGTTCACATCATCTCCAACATCCAACTGTGTCTAAAGCTTGTTTTATTTGAACACTGATTGCCAGGATAACAATGTTACAATTTGCTCCTTTATCACTTTGACAGTGATTTTATGAATCTGAGTGTCAGTCAGCTGGTTCAGGTGCACCAGGAAGGGAAGAGTCACATTCATTTCTATAATAACCTTATGCTGCCATCACCTCCCAGTTAAATATAGAAAGAATCACATAAACAACGAAGCTCATACACACGTTTCAAAATAACTAAACCACAGTTCATTTCAGGAAGTCATGTGGGAGCTGCTGTTGATCTTCAGTCTGCTTTGCTGGACGTCTGAGGGCAGTGTGACCTGCAGAAATGAAAACAATGGTGAAGTGGACTGGTAAGTCTCCTCATAATATACATATATGTGTATGGAAGGACGGGCCCCTGCATGGTATGTACCACTGGCAGACAGAGGAAGTGGCTGATATCCAGAAGTCCTATCAATGGCTTGAAAAAGCTGGACTGAAAGACAGCACGGGGGCACTAATCATGGCAGCACAGGAACAAACTCTGAGCACAAGATCCATAGAGGCTGGGGTCTATCACACCAGGAAAGACCCCAGGTGCTGGCTGTGTAAAGATGCCCCAGAGACAATCCAGCACATAACAGCAGGGTGCAAGATGCTAGCAGGCAAGGCATACATGGAATTTATTTAAAATGTCCGTGCAGTTTAACATAGTCCAAGTAAAAAACATGAAACTGATGTAAAGCACATAAGTTTATAGCTATTTCTAATTTGCCATAACCAAGTGGTGTACATAGTGTACAGGAACATCTGTGCCGAGTATAACCTGGAAGTCCCGAGGTCAAAATGGGAGATGCCCCCAAGGGTGGTGGAGAATGACCGAGCTAAGATCCTGTGGGACTTCCAGATACAGACGGACAAAATGGTGGTGGCTAACCAACCGGACATAGTGGTGGTAGACAAACAGAAGAAGACGGCCGTAGTGATCGATGTAGCGGTTCCGAATGACAGCAACATCAGAAAGAAGAAACACGAAAAATACCAAGGGCTCAGAGAAGAGCTTGAGAGAGATGTGGAGGGTGAAGTTAACGGTAGGTCCGCAGTGGTAATCGGAGCACTAGGTGCGGTGACTCCCAAGCTAGGCGAGTGGCTCCAGCAGATCCCGGAACAACATCGGAGATCTCTGTCCAGAAGAGCGCAGTCCTGGGAACGCTAAGATACTGCTGCAGGACCCTCAAGTCCCAGGCCTCTGGTAGAGGACCCGAGCTTGAATGAAACGATAGACTGCCGTGCCTGGACAAGCAGATCATAGATAGATAGATAGATAGATAGATAGATAGATAGATAGATAGATAGATAGATAGATAGATAGATAGATAGATAGATAGATAGATAGATAGATAGATGAACGTCCAAAAGAAAAATTTTAATACAATAATATAAAACAATATAATACACACAGATACACACAGATGACGATAATCTGAAATTCAGGTGGCAACAGACAGGAGACTAAACTCAAACAGGACATAAATGAAGGCAAATCCTAAAATGCAGAGACAAGGACTTGCGTGTAAAGACAGACCCAAAGGAACACTCAAAGACAGAGACAAAAAAAAGGAAACTGGAGCTAAATAAAGACCAACATTTCTAAACTCTACAACAGCAAATCATAAACAGGCGTTCACAACTCTGTGAAAACTATCAGAGCAATAAAACCAAAGCTCAACATACTAAAAAATAATGAAATCATGACCCGAAAAACAAACTGCTTACAAAGAAAATCACACTTCATTACAGAAATTGGAGCAACAACAAAATTACAACGAATCACAAACAGACAGGTATCCAAAACTTTAAACACTAGAATAATTAAACCTCAAAATAAATATAAACACAAAATTCCTGAGACTATGACCTTTAGGTGATGAAGAGCAGTCTGCAGACTGAACTATCGAGCTGGTATGAGATGAAGTGGGCTTTGCTATACCCAATACAGTTTGAAGACAAAGTGAGGACAATCCCTGACACTTAAGAAAAGCACCCACTGAGTGAAGCTTTACTCCACAATAAAGTTAGCAGTTTTGTTGGGAGCAGTTATATTTTGTTCATGAGCATAGAGGGTGGCATGAGTCCACTTGGGCAAGGCCAAAAGTCTCTACGTGAGTGCAAAACATTAATGTGAATTGTTAGAGTTTGTATTGTTGATTGTCATTTATGCTTAGAAATATTTACTTATATATGCTTAGAGTTTTGTAATTAGTTGTAGATTGGTACAGGGTTTAATCCTTGATAGTCTGCAAACTTTGTGTGTATTAGACAGCACTTTGGGAGCATGAGAGGTCATACCGTGTCTTATTGTTTTACGGCAGGATCAACGTAGTTGCGTCTGTTCCATAATAGACCCATTTCTGTAATATACTCACATATCTATATTATTGCTAATATATATTGTAATATATCTATATCATGGCTAAGCACTTCTGGATGGATGCAAACTGCATTTCGTTGCCCTGTACCTGTGCATGTGCAATGACAATAAAGTTGAATTCTATTCTATTCTATTCTATTTTGTAAAGTCCAGACCCTCTGAGGATTATCTGAGTACTTCTAACATTACACAAAGCAAAGGTCTCCATCAGTGTTCATGAAATGCTGGGTTTATCCTTCTTGTGAGGGAGCTGCTGGTGAAGATCACGAGCCCTGCTTGATCCCGGCGATGAGTTTCAGTCTTCCTGGTGTTTCTGAAATGATGCCTCTCACTGTGGGTCAACAGAACTTCTGGCACAGGACAGCTGTAATGAAAGAAATTGAAGTTTTGAAAAAAAAATCTTGGAAATGCCCTATATGTGAGAAGCAGATTTTGTATTTACTTTTCTTTTGCCAATCAAGATAACTAAAAGTATAATTTTCACCATACAATTACTAACCTTGTCATCTCCTGCACTGTCTGTTTTGGGCTCTGGGCTCGTCCTTCCCAGCGCTCATGAGACTGCTTTGCTGCACTGTGGTATGAGGTGCTAACCTGTTGACAGTGTTGGGAAGGTTAATTTTAAAATGTATTCCACCAAAGATTATAGAAGTAATGTATTCTGAATACTTTACAACTACATGAATGTACTATTGCTGTGTGATTTATTACTATTACTGAAGGCTACTCGCCATACCAATACCAACTAGATGTTAAAATCTTAATATAAATGAGTAACAGTAGGTGGACATTAGGTAAGGCTGCACTTTTTGCAGCGATCTCGTGTAGAAAACTATTCCGCGCGTATATAAAACAGGTCAGCTGGCTCCGAACGTGTGACCTCTGGTGACAGTGGCAGAGAAAAGGACACTAAAAAAACTGCTGGACATTATGGACAATGCTGGGCATCCTCTGCACACGGCCATTAACAACCAGAAGAGTCTGTTCAGTGACAGGTTGCTTCTCCCCAAGACAAGAACTAACAGACTTAAAAACTCCTTTGTCCCACACGCCATCAGACTGTTTAACTCCTCTCTGGAGGGGAGAGGGAGGGGAAACAGGAGGACAAAGGAGGGGGGAACAACTAAGCTGTAGTGCCTCTTCACCTCACTGTGCAATACCTTTGTGCAATACTTTTGTAAATAGTCAACAGTGCAATAGACTCAATACTTGAAATGTGCAATTCACTTGTATTTTTATTTTTTTCCTATTTATTCTATTTATCCCCTTCGTATATTTTATTTATATTGTGTGTGTATTTATATATGTGTGTGTGTATATATATATATAACATTCTGTAACTCTAACTTCTGTCTTGTTTGCTGTGCTTTTGGAAACCTCTCCAGAATATTTCCGCAGAGGGAACCTCACGCCGAGTGTGCCTAATAAAGGTATCTATCCTGTGATTCTTAAAACACCCGGTAACTGCTAGTCCGCGGCTCTGAACCGTAGTAAAGGGACCTCTGGCTGAAAAATGGTTTGAAACTGAAAAAAAAAATTGTAAGCGAAAAAAAAAACTTACACGTATTTCCAATATTCAATTTTGTCGTTTTTCACTCGATGAGTTTAATTTTCTTTTGCAGGCTGTTCTAATAATTTTTTTTCGGTTTTTGTTTCAACCTAGTTTGTCAATTATGCAGTGCCAAAACAATTTACATTATGATATGAAAATAAAATTACTATTAAGATACTCAGACTAAACACATGGTCTCTTCCGTCAGTGGTACTTCTACCAAAAGGCAGTCCAAAAAAGAACAATGTACGTACTATAAAAGAACATAAATATTGAAAACTGATCCAACATTATTCTTGTATAGACGGATCATCTGCTGATTCTTAAGCTTTCTACCTGATGTGTTTTAGCCCTTATGTGTCTTCCGATAAAAACATTCCTATACTATCCAGAAGTATAATTGGTAAGCCACCTGTGAGCTTACTCTCTGCCGTGGCCTTGCTCTGTTTTTGCATTCATGGTCCAGACAAGTGAGCAGGTTCGACTGATATCAGCACTGGGCGCCACCAAACAATCGAGCAGATTGTTAATCAACGGATCTATAGTCGGGGCACGATGTGTCAGTCAGTTAGCTAGTTAGTATCCATTTCAAACAGGACAGTGGTAACAACAGCAGGCTACGGACAATTTTAAGTTTTAGATTTTAAATAGGCTGTATACATTTCAATGGGAGCAACAGGACGGTCAAATGTCGCTGATTTTACTACAGAGCAGGACGGATTGTAGAGTAGCAAACATCGATGAAAAGTTTTCAACACTGCAGGTTACCTGGTGTAATGTTTTTCAGCTAAAAAGAAACATGGTCTGACTCCTACCAACTATATAAAGAGTAACTGAAGGTTAAATGCAGCTAATATGTCCTGTTTTAAGCCAGGCACTTACACCTCGCTCCGCTGCGTCTCAGCCACCATCGCTCTGGCAGCAACGGCGTCTAGAGCCAGAGCAGGGGAGAGCTGGAACAAACCATTTTGGGAGGGGGGTTATCTATACTTTTGTTCGTTAAAATGTTACATCTCAACCAAGTACTGTATGCTTCTTTATATTTTTAGTAGTGTGTCACACAACAGCAATATATTGTCAAAAAAGTAAGAAATCTTTGGGGGTGCTTTGAAACATTTTAAAATGGGCTAAAATCGCCCCTGCCATATTTCTAAGATTTTTAGGGTTGAGTACAATAACCTCAGTTTTATCTGAATTAAGAAGCAGAAAATTAGAGGTCATCCAGGTCCGTATGTCTTTAAGACATTTCTGCAGTTTAACTAATTGGTGTGTGTTATCTGGCTTCTTGGATAGAGAGAGTTGGGTGTCATGTGCATAGCAGTGAAAATGTATGTAGCCTTTGGCTTTTTGTGTGTGACCTGGGTTCCTTGAAAAGCACTATACAAGTCTTATAGGCACTACTATTGTCAGTGTTTGATGAAACTTATGAACAGGTATGCATGGCAACCAGTATTGGGAAGGTTACTTTTAAAATGTATTCCACTACAGATTACAGAATACATATGAGAGTAACGTATTCTGAATACTTTGGATTACTTAATATATTATCATGCTTTTTACAACTCATGAATGTACTA